TTTTGAGACAGGGTCTTTCTACATAGCTCTAGCTGTCCTGGAACTCACTGTGTAGACTAGGCTGGCCTCAAATTCACAGAGCTCTTCCTGTGTCTGCTGGGATTAAAATTGTGTGCTACCATGCCAAGCTGCCCCTAATTTCTTATGTTTAAGTCCATTCTTTTGTTATTAAAAATCTCAATTATTCATTCAAAAATTTTTTTTTGTCTAGCCTGAGGAAGGAAGTTATTAATGTGGAAGTTTGATCTTTTAGTTCCAAGACACCCGAACCTGCCTTCTGTCCCTTTTGAGCTCCAGCCCAGTGTCTGCTGTGCTTTGTTTGGTTCCTGATCCTTCCTGCCTTCTTAGACTGTAATGTCGGCAGCTTATCCACTGAGCCCTGAGTTTCCTCTTTAGTGGGATCCTAGACCCCATTGGCAGCATTCTACCAGGTCTTCCCCTTCCTGCCAGGCGTTCTTAGTCACGCTACACACCTCTAATGTTCATCTGAAGTCCTGACAGCCAGATCGGCTTCCGGATAGCAGAAACTCTGATTTACAGAAGCATTTCCATGTAGACACGCGTGTGTGCTAGCCTGTTGGTTCCGTAACCAGCAGGCCCTGTAGTCAAGCACATTGTTCCTCCCGCCCTGAAATGGAGCTGTCTAGCATAAGGGCTGTAGATAAATAGTCCCATGTTAGTAGTTCCTGTCAGATTTGCTTCCCAGTGAGCTGTTACAACTTGAAAAATGTCAGTGATGGTGACTTTCCAGTTACAGATGGAAAGATAGGTACTTCTGCTTTCTCACCTTCCTTCTGCTTTTGAACTCACTCTGGCTTTACTTCCTTCACTTCTGAATGGCTCTTGTCAACTACCAGTGACCTTTATCTAAAGTTAACGGGTTCCACTGAGTTTTCAGCCTCTTATCATCCGATTGGTCAGCAGCCTCAGCTCCTGTGGATGCCAGCTCTGCAGCAGGCCCCTCTGTTGCTGTCCTTGGTGTCCCCTTTCCCTGGGTCCCCATCTCCAGAAAGTGCGTCCTCTGGCATTAAATGCTAAGTACTTTCAGGTTTGTTCCCTCTCTGGCAATCGTGTCTTTGTTTTCAGCTTTCCAGTTCTCTTCCGAATGTGCACTGAATCACAATGCACACTCCAGTTGAAGCCTTGCGTGAGTTCGGTGATGTGCCTACTGGCCAGTGGAGGCTCTCAGAGGTCTGGTTTCTGAATTTGTCTTCATGTCATGGATGTCTTGTCCTGAGAAGGATTGTTTTCACATATTCTGCCTTCGCCTCATCTCCTTTTCTCCTTCCTGCTCTTCGGTCACCTTTGTGGCGGTGTCCCCTTGTGTGGACAGGCATGGGGTCTAGTGATCACATATGTGTGTGGCATGTCCACTTGTGGAGGACAGGCATGGGGTGTCCGGCCCGCTTCAGCTTCTGGGGGCCTGCTTTGTTCACTCAGAAAGACTCCTAAAACAGGGTCACTATACAGACTGCCTTCTGGAATGTGTTTCGGTTTAATGTTAGTAAGTTCCTACTATCTATCTATCTATCTATCTATCTATCTATCTATCTATCTATCTATCTATCTATCTATCTATCTGTTATCTATTTATTTATTTCATCTAGCTAGTTCCCATTTTTCTAGAGAGGCTCTCTAATTAGTGTGTGCTCTCATCAGATCTTATGGCACTGTGTATTAACTCTACACTAACAAGTTTAATTTTACATTGAAAATATCATTTTATGTTCCCTTTCTAGACTCTGAGCACTAACATTTTCTTCTTGTTCACCTTTTCATTTCTAGCAAGGCTGGCCTAGAGTGGGCAAATTGTAAGCATTTTTAGTGAATTTTGTACATTAATTGATCTCTCTGTGTGCGTTTGCTAGTGTAGCATACTTAGTTTCCATGGTCTTGTGAACCCAGTGCTGTTGGCACTCCTTGAAGATTGCACTCCTTGAAGATTAAGAAAATGCATTTTAAAACCAGAGGATTAACTATGAAGAGTCATAGTATAACTCTGCATAAAGTCTTCTTTGCTCTGGCGCATAGCTTCTCCTTCCTGCTTTCAGGTTTTTCTACATTGTCCTGGATCCTGTGTTTATGGATAGCTTAGATCTCACAGACTCGAGTACTGTATGCAAGTAAAACACATGAACTGTGCCAGCAAAAGTCATCCGACTTTCAACTTGTTCACCAGTTGATATATAAATCTTAGGGGATCCAAAATAGTTTAGCCATCTGCTAACTGACCAGACAATTTTAGTATTGTGAAAGGGTGTGGTCAGAGAGGTAGGTAGAGGATCTAGGTAAAATGTCAGAATAAGGCTCAGTGCAGAAACCACCTTAACTCTTAATACTGAAACTCAACAGTCAGCTCAAAATTAGGAAGAGATTTGGTGAGGTTAAACAGGAGCGTCCAGACAGTCGGGGATTTCCCAAAGAGGCAGTCGTCTTTGGGCATCATGAGCTCCCTGTTTAGAGAAAAGATATATTTTCAAGGACATGAATTCTCTGTAAATTAATCATGATCTCTATAATATACCACACTTTTCTGGAAATTAATTGTCCTTTTATATTTTACTCCTTAATTAGGAAAATCAGTTGGATCTCGGTCATCTCAGAGTGAGTCTGAAATTGTGCCAAAAGTTGCTAAAATGACTGTATCTGGGAAGAAGCAAACAATGGGATTTGAAGTACCTGGGTAAGACTCAGTCCCTCGCCCCTGTAAAGCATCCATTGTCTCCTGTGAATTGACGAGAACATCTTTTTCAGTTCTGTTTACTAAAGCCCTTTGTGTATTGCAAAGGACAGAGACGGAGTGAGAACTTAGTTTTGATTCTAGCTTTATCATTGTATGACTCACTGTGTGTTTCCTCACGTCAGTGATTGATAGTTACTTTAACATTAAACTAAACAAAACTGGTTTGTAGACTAGTTCCTATGAGACAGGGCATTCTTAGTACCTCCGGGTAGTGTAGACAAGCAGCACTTGGGAGTCAATGAATCAGACCCAGTGACTTCTGTTAACTAAATATTACTGTTACTACTGTCTTGGGCTGGAGAGATAGCTCAGTGGTAAGTAGTACTGGCTGTTTTTCCAGAGTACCTCAGGTTCAATTGCCGCTACCCACATGGCAGCTCATAACCATAAGTAGTGCCAATTCCAGGGGATCTGGCACCCTCTGCTGACCTTTGCAGGCATTGCACACACTTGGAGCACATACATGCAGGCAAGATATCCATACATTATAAAATAAAATTAAAGGAAAAAAATTGAAAACAAAACAAAAATATTGCCTTGAAGTTCTTTTCAACTCTTGTGTGTTTGGATATAGTGTGTTTTGTGTGTGTGTGTTTGCACATTTGTGTATGTGGATGTAGTGAGTATGTGTGTGCTTGCATATTTGTGTGGGGATGCAGTGTCTATGTGTGTTTGCGTATTTGTGTGTGGATGTAGTGTGTGTGTGTGTAGTTGTTTGTGTGCTTGCATATTTGCGTGTGTGGATGTAGAGCGTGAATGTGTGTATGTATTCACCCATGCAAACATGCAAAGGCCAGAGATTAGTGGGTATTGCCCTTGCTTGCTCTTTACCTTACATTTTTATTTTTAAAGATTTACATGCTTTTAATTATGTGTAAGTGTCTGTGTGGGGTATGTGCACATGAATATAGGTACCTGTGGAGGCCAGAAGAGGAAGTTTGAGTAAGCCACCCGTGGTTGTTGCTGGGAATTGGACTTGGGTCCTCTAAAGAACATTATGCACTGTTACCATTGTCTTACCATTTGGGTAGACAGCTAGCTAGGGCGCCATGGATCTGCATTTTTGCACCCCCGGCACTGAGATTACAAATATGTGCCACCATGTCCGGCTTTAATGTGGGTGCTGGGAATCGGAACTGAGATCCCCATGTCTGCACAGCAAGCTCTTGCACACCAGTAAGCTGTCTCTCTAACCCTCTTCATTTTTATGCTGAATAAGATGGTTCATGGTATCCAAAACACATGCAGTTACAAAGTCCTAGAATTTGAAACAGCTAAAAAAAAAAAAGACTAAGTCAACCTTGGTAGTACTTGCTATTTTAAAGTCAGTCTCTAGAATTCTAGGAGTTTTTCCTAGAGAAGGAAGTGAGTTATATGTGTCTCAAATGAATTGTAAAATGTTAATATTTCACATCCTTAAGATTGTTCAGAATTTTTATTCTCTAACACTTTTGCTGGGCATGATGGCAAACACTTTCTGTCTTACCAGGAGGGAGGTGGAGACTGGAAGGTCAGGAGTTCAGGGTCATCCTCAGCTACATAGAGTTCTGGACCAGCTGAGGCTCTATGAGTCTCTGTCTTATAAAAAACAAAAAGTACTATTTATAAGTTATGTATATGTCACTTACCAAAGCATAAAAGGAGAAAGTCATCAAATATTAACAAAGATGACTTCTGCTTTCAGCATTTTGAAATAGAGTCTCAGGAGCCTTATTGTGTCTCCTTTTATAGAAATCTGTGGTAATGGGAATGTATGTCCCCATGTTAGGTGGGGAAGAATTTTAACAGTCTCCCACTAAAGTGTTGGGATTTAAAAGCAAGATTTTATTCACTCAATTTCAGATTCAGTGTGGGAAAGAGCTCAGGCCTAGGAGGCAGGATTCCTCCAGTGTGTATTAGTTCAGTGATGGGTGAGATGGAACTCACATTATCATGTAACTTTAACCTGTTCAGGTCTTTTTGAGTTGTGGTTCGGTTCTAAGAGTTTGCTAATGTCCTTTCTCTCTTAATTATGATTATATTGATGCAGATACCTTTTTTATTCTTAATGTGTTGAGTTATATTTAACTCTGTTATAGGAACCTCTTATTTTGTTTCATTTGAGACAGGGTCTCCACTGTGTAGCCCTGGCTGGCCCAGAACTCATTATGTAGACCAGGCAGGCCATGAACTCACAAAGATCCACCTGCCTCTGCCTCCTGAGTGTTGGAATTAAAGGCATTTGCCACTGTGTCCAGCTAGGGAGTCTTTGCTTGAACAAAATAAATAAAATACACAACCCTTACATTAAGAATGTCACAGTCTTGATGTGGAATGTTTCAGAGGCCTTAGCAGCCAGCACAAAAGCTTAAAGTACTATATTATACTGGAGATACACACAGAGCTCCTAAGCCAGTAACTGAAATACTGGGTAAAATGACGAAGAAAGAGAAGTGTTGGGAACACGAGTAACTGGTGAAGATCAGTGTCAATAAAGTATTGCTTTTATAAGTCCAAACACTGAGCTAGGTTATCACACTGTGCCTAATATACCATCGCAAATATACTCAATCCTGATCATCTCATTGCAAATACACCTGGTTCTGATTGATAAACAAGGTCAATACTTAGATGAGAGAATGTAAAATATACACTGACAGTTCATTTCTCCATATATTTGCACACATGTATTCATTGTTTGGAAGGCACTCTGTTTTATTAACATTGAGAAGTGTAACAATACCTCTAGAACATAGGTAAGTAGAACTGATTCAAATATCACATGTAGGATAGATACTCTACACTTAAAATCATTAGTATAAATTAGTGTCTAAGTGCCTGAGTCAAGAAGAAAAATTAATCCTTTAGTTTTCTAAATTAATGGTCTCACTTTTGGAAAGTTTGTTTAGAAATAAGAAATCACATTAATTAGTTAAGATCATAAAATTATATGAGAAAGTATCTGAAAAAATTGTCCCCAACTTATTCTTTCAGTCATGACAGTCGCTCTAGGCCTTGGCCCAGAATGATTCTTTTCAGATCTTCGAGGCATTTGAAAGTTTCCAATAGCAGTGTTTACCTCATAGGATGCAGAAGTTGCTGGCTGTAGCCTGACTGAGCACCACCATACCTGTCTGCATCGAGTGTTTGGTAGACAGCTCTCCCAGGATTCCAGGTCTGCGTTTGTGTGGATTGGCTCTGGTCACTTTTCATTTCCACCTTAACAGACGTGAATCACTTAGCTGAGAACCAAAATGTAAGGGATTACAAAGAGGCATCTCTGCTCTGACACAATAGGACAGCAGTTAAAATGGCTTCCTGACCTTTCTTTCTGTAGCTTAACCTCTGAGGAGAATGGAGACAGCCTGCCTGCTCTTCACAGAGGCCCTCCTGGTGACGATGGCAGCATTGCTTCTCCTAACGTTCCTGGGACCAGCACTCATAAATCTGCCCTCCTACCTCCCTCCATTCAAGCATCAGAAGAGCTGAGTTCAACTCCAGCAGCAGTGAAAAAGTCTGGCAAGCTGAGGCAGCAGATAGACGTGAAGGCAGAGCTGGAGAAGCGCCAGGGCGGGAAGCAGCTCCTCAACCTGGTGGTCATTGGTATGCCTGTATTCTAGGCTGCCAGCCGCTTGGGGCAGCAGAGACTTAAGGCAGAGGCATTGCATCATAATGCATCCTAGCCACCTTGGGTGCAATGGTACCATGTTACCAAGGAGGGCATCAGACCTGGCTTGTGGCATTTTCATTTCCTGAACACTTTGAAAATGGGATGTATTTTTTTTTTAAAAAAAAAAAATGGGAAAAACTACCCTCTTTAAAACAATATGCGCAACACCCCCCACTCACACACCCTGTTTAGGTGTTTTAACCTTGATAAAAATCAGTATTTGTTACTCCAAATACTGCCCTGAGCTATTGAATTACAGTCATGCAATGCCTCAGTGTGAACAACGTCTGACAATGTACCTAGTATTAATCCTGAATCAATTTTCCTTAGGTCATGTTGATGCTGGGAAAAGTACTCTGATGGGCCATATGCTTTATCTGCTGGGTAATGTAAACAAAAGAACTATGCATAAATATGAACAAGAATCTAAAAAGGCTGGCAAGGCTTCATTTGCATATGCATGGGTCTTGGATGAGACTGGAGAAGAAAGGGAAAGGTAGTCACTATATTTCAAAATTTTCAGTTTAAAATAATGCAGTCCTTTTAAAATAAGTGTGCAATGTGTGTTGAATATGTAAAACATAAAATGTTAGAGAAAACTTAACAAAATCTTTTGTTTTGTACATTGTTTATGCTTTTATTCTGCGAGAGTAGGGGAAGCATACATCTAAAACCAAACAGCAAAGCCCGGAACCACCTCCCGAAGCAGCAGGTCCCCTAAGTTGTTTTTGCTGCAAGAAGAGCTGGCACTTGTCACTCCTCAGCCTATCACGCTGTCTTGACTTGGAGTTGAATTTGACTCGGTCTTGCACCAGCTTATGAATGAAAGGGAAAGAGCGTAACTGTCTTCTGCCTACATTCAGAGTGCCCAGCAGGTCCAGAATAGAGAACTCCATGGTTTTCTAATTCGTGTTCTATGTTCTCGTGAGATGGTCCAAAAAGAAGCAGTGGAATCTATCTAGTCAGTTAGTCCTTCTGTCTCAGGACTTAGTGTTCATTTGGGTGGATTCTAACAGAAGGAGGAAGATAATCACCAATTTCTGGCCGGAAAATGAGAATATTTCTTTTGAAGTATTTTAAAGCATAAGCGTATATCATATTTAAGGCTATCAGAGATGGAGAAGCAGGGGCCATCTACATAAAGTGAAATGACAGACACAGAACAGCTAAGTCCAAGAGAATGAGGCCCTGTGCAAGCTCTTCCAAGTTAACAGTTTGGAACGTCTCTGGTGGCTTTAATCTGAGTATTAGAGAGTGTATCTGGATTTGCAGACTTTTCTACGTGTGTTCATTTTCTGCAGTCCTCTCTACATTATAATGTTTAAGTAAGTCAGTTCTCAGTAAAGCAGGTTATATTAATATTTAGTGTTTCTCATAACCGGGTATTTGTATCATCATGGTCTTTCTCCCTTGTGTGGGTATCTTTTTCTCTGTATATTATTGCAAAACTGCTTTCTTTAACCTGTTACTTGCCATATTTTGGAAAACAGTAGAACTGCATGTGGCAGCAGTATCAGAAGCCCAAGTAATTCCCACCAGTTTAACAGACAGATTGTCAAAGACTATGGCTTTGTTTTCTTTGCATAACCTGATTATGTGGATTAGTAGACTAAGAAGGGTGTAATTGAAGCTGGAAGACCTTAGTAAAACTTCTTCATTATGTGTCAGTGCTGAGTGCAAGTGAGCTACTATGCACTTATTCCTATGGTGACTGAGCGTTTGAGCTTTCCGGCTGTAGCATCTGCTTATTGCAGTAACACTGTGGTTGCTACCTTTCTATCTCCCACCATGTTATAATTTAGACTGTTCCTCCATTCTGTAGACAGCAGAAGTTTCTGAGTACATATCAGAAGTGCTTTTAGCTCATCTCACAGTGTAGTGCTGAATGGCCTTTTAAAAACTGGTATGTTCTTTATTCTACCATGTGAAATATTTGCAAATCGGTGTTGAAGAAATATAATAGAAAATAATAAGCTGGGTGACATTTTCATATCTTTATGAAAGGATATAAACCCCTAGGTGTTGGAGAACATTAAGCAGGATTAGGCATCACTCTGGCAAGCTCAAGTGGCTTGACTAAGGAGACCGACTCCCCTTTGCCATGGCAGACCTCTAGTTTATTATTGTAGTTTTGGGACTCTTGTTATTAAAGGAAGGCTAAATTGTTTTAGTTTGAATGGTCTAGAGCAGTGGTTCTCAACCTTCCTAATGCTGTGACCCTTTAATACAGTTCCTCATTTGTAGTGACCCCCAACCATAGAATTACTTTGTTGCTACTTCATAACTGTAATTTTGCTAGTGTTATGAATTGTAATGCAAATATCTGATCCCTGTGGAGGTTGTGACTCATAGATTGAGAACCACTGATCTAGAGCAAACCTAGTTTATTGCCCAACTGATTTCTCCTCTTATGTTTCCGAGGTTTCTTGTCGCCATTTCTAAGGATTGGAATCTTCATTTTGTGTCTGAAAAGAGGTCCTGGTTTGGTCTCTAAGAGGGCTGAAATGGAATATGAAGCAAACTGCCATTTATCTCTCTTAATTTTGTTAAAAATTGGGCATCTGATACCTCTTGTATTCAAATTGTAACTATTGGCTAACTTTGCAAGTGAAAGTTGTCTGTGTATATTTCTATAATTAGTGACATATAAACACTAAAACGTTAGAAAAGCTAATTCCTGAAAGTATCATTTGTCCCGTTATCTTTTCTTCATGTGTATTTATTTTTCTCACATCTAGAGATGTGTATATATAGCTTTCTTTGTTCATAATTATAGTTTCTTGCCAAACATCAAAGAAATGGGAAATACCTATCATTTCGATTGAGTTTGCTATATATACAACCTTGGTTTCAAAACATACAGGGATAATGGTTATAGCTGATATTTCAATCCTTTGCTTCATTATACAAAATAAATATGTAAAAGTTCCCATTATTATGAAGAATTTAGGTTGTCATGAAGCCTGTTATTAAGAGGTTTAGCTCACATCACTGACTATTTCTACAGTAGCTTTTAACCATCTTATGTTTGTTTAAGGGGAGTAACAATGGATGTTGGCATGACGAAGTTTGAAACCACAACCAAAGTTATTACATTAATGGATGCTCCAGGCCATAAGGATTTCATTCCAAACATGATCACAGGAGCAGCCCAGGTACCTGTATCTTAACTGAGTAATTCACACTGATTGTATCTTCAGTTTTTGACATCCACCAAACTTGCAATTATGGTGTTTTAACTCATAAAATATTTTAAAATTGAAAGTTTTCCTTTTAAGAGGCTAGAAAAAAAAATGAGATATATTGTATTTTTCGTGACCTGTTTGTTTGTGCTATCTAAGCTTCCCGCCATGTTACACTGTGGAGGTATCAGAGATGGAGACTTTGGTGTTAAAATTATGGTATACAAGTGTAGATTTTTTGACACCCCCCCCCATTTATTGCTAAAATTAAAGTCTGACATGGTAATGAACACTTTAAAGTAGGATTAAGCTAGAAAGAGTGTTTGAGTACGTAAAAGAGGAAATACTAGAGTCACTCCACCGGACAGAGGACTCGGATCCTACTTTTGTTGTTGTTGGGTGGTTTTGAGACTGGAGCTTGCTGTAAGTTCAGACTAACCTGGAATGTTCCGTGTAGCCCAGACTCTCAGTGTCGCCTCCAACTCTGAGCTCCGTTTCCACCTTCCACATGCTGGGGTCATAGGTGTGTGCTACCATGCCGAGCTGACGGGTGCTGAGTGTAGTTTACACGAGAAAAGAATGTAAAGAATGTGGTGTTATATGTAGATTCCAGACTCACTTTATGACCATTTCATCTCCCACTATGTATGGGAAGGATTATATGGTAATCATTGTGAGATTCTTATAAACCAGACAGTACAGGAAGCAACAATAAAACCTGCCAAACAACTAAAAAGCTATGTGGGCTGTACCAAGAGGCGAGAGCACTGAATGCTGTGACTGGAAATCAGCAAACCCTTGAGAGACTGTATTGCCAGTCTCAGATAGTTCAGAAGGGGAATAAAAGGCATTTAGTCACCCTAGCCTGAGTGTCTCTGAGCAGCATTCTTTGAAACCTACCCAGACAAGACATTGACAGAAATGATTGGTAAGAATGGACCTGGAAGAAGAGAAATGGGGCATAGTTTTTTGCAAAATTTTGTAAACCACTTCCCCAAGATGGAAGTAGAATAAAAAATTGCATAAAGAATGGTTAACCTAAGAGTCGTGGGAACCAGAGGCTGACAGGGAATGTGAACTTTTCCTTTCTGTTTTGTAGATTTGCGTGTGAAAGGAGAAATGTTTGTGATCCAAGGTTCTGTAGCAAGCTTTTTCCTTGGCCGCCAGCTCACAAATAATGGCATGGAAACTTATTAATTATGAAAGCTTGGCCTCAAGCTAGACTTGTCTCAACTAGCTCTTATAACTTCAGTGAACCCATTTATATTCATCTATGCTCTGCCATGTGGCGTTACTTCTCTTCCTCTTGCACTTCCTGTTTCTTCTCCTTGTCTGGCGGGCAACTCCACCTTTCTTCTCAGGGTCTCTGTCTGCCCGGAAGTCCCGCCTATACCTCCTGCCTAGCTATTGGCTGTTCAGCTTCTTATTACACCAATCACAGCAATGCAAGTTCACACAGTGTGCAGATACCGCACTACAAGGGTCTATTTTAGTAGCTGCAGAAGATGAACGTGTGACCGTTGGTAATTCGTGTCATAGTTTTTCTCACTATAGGTAATATTCTCCTAGCTGAATGTCTTTGTAGCCATAATTGTCTTGGTAAATTAA